CCCTATGTTTTCTTATGAGGTTGTGGTATAGTGTTTCGAACAATGCAGCTTTTGGGGTCTTCGGGTCTTCAAAACTTTGTAGGAGAGCTCATAATCATATGGAGCATTACCGCAGAGTATATACACTAGGACCCCCGTTTAAAATTTTGCTCAATAACTTTGAGTGTTCTGTTATCGACGGTTGAAAAGTGCTCTTGACCATGGCAAAATGGCAGTTTTATTCTTCATGTGCTGACTTTTCCCAGGTAATAGTATGTGTTCTTACTTACCTTCCTAGTCTTGCTCTAAGGCTCAGGAGTCTTGGCGTTTTTTGACTGGTTGTGTTATCGATGAATGGTTCCTTGACAATCACGATAAGTATATGGATATTAAGCAACTAATGTATAGGTATATATAGATATAAAGGTTGTTAAATGATATAAATCAATCCTAGAAACCAAATGACAACATACTCACACCTGCTTCAAGAGAAAGACAAGAAGACAAAGTACACTATTCCAATTGAAACAGGAGAGTGTATAAGTATTAATTTCAGCATACAGAACTTTTATTGACAGCTCAAAAACAACTATAGTGGTTATAGATGAAACCTTATAGAAGCAATCATTACAGATCAAGTAGCATATAAGACTAAGAGAAAATCCTCTTCTATTGGGGGCGGGATTGTAATATGTCCAAATATTTCAAAAAGATTCTAGACAGAATATCACACATCTCTGATTCAAATAACTAAACTTCAGAGTACATCACCATCTTCTACTCTTTTGATCCCCTCTGGTAAGAAATGAGAGGAGGGGGGAGTGTGTGTGTGTGGCAGAGGAAACGGCAATGTCGGTTTTAACAAAAACCCGAAACATGATTTTCCTTCCATTCAATACACAGGTCACTGAGTTACACATCTTTGATGGATCGAAAATAAAAGCCTCTTTCATCATCTACTAGAAAGAGAGTGTGTATGATGAAAGTACGTTAACAAATGGCGTGTCATGTTGTTGTTGTTGTTGTTGTGTTGGTGGTGGTGGTGTGGTGTAAAATCGTGATCTTCAGTGTGGGTTGAAAGACTAAAGTCATAAAAATAATCAGGTGATCACCTGATTCAATCCTTCCTCGGACAATTACAACCCGGATGTTTTGTGAGTGAGCCAGTTGCGTGTCTACAGAGAGAGACAGAGATCCTTGTCATGCACCACAATACAAATACAAATACAAATACAAATACAGCAATTTATACTATTTTTTTAATACGGACAACAGATAAGAGATTGTGCATGTGCATATACACATACATATACACATACACATACACATACATATACACATATACTTATACTTATACAACCCATCAATGCACGCAATTCCATGCACAATAAGTCCACTTTTCCTTGCACAAAGATGACGCATGCATATATTCTGCAATGATTGCTGGGTGCTGTGTCACCCGCAAGCCCCATAGAAGTAGACCAGCCGAAAAGGGGAAGGGAGAGGGTGAGAGGGGGATGGTGCTTATGTATATGCATATGCGATAATTCAAATACTATAAGTATCTTGATCAGAGATCACCAATGGTTTCGATATTTTTCAACTTCCAACTAGCTTCAAATCAATTAGACCCGACAGAGTAGCTACTACTTTTCAACTACACGTTTACTTATCACACAATGCCAGAAATCCCAAAAACTCAAAAAGCTGTTGTGTTTGAGAAGAATGGAGGTAACTTGGAATACAAGGACATTCCTGTCCCAACACCAAAACCAAGCGAATTATTAATCAACGTCAAGTTTTCAGGAGTTTGCCACACCGATTTGCATGCTTGGAAAGGTGATTGGCCTTTGGACACCAAGTTACCACTTGTTGGTGGCCACGAGGGTGCTGGTGTGGTTGTCGGTATGGGAAGCAATGTTAAAGGCTGGCAGATTGGAGATTACGCCGGTATCAAATGGTTGAATGGTTCCTGTTTGAATTGTGAATTTTGTGAACAAGGTGCTGAACCAAACTGTCCTCAAGCCGACTTATCTGGTTACACGCACGATGGTTCATTTGAACAGTACGCCACTGCTGATGCCGTCCAAGCTGCCAGAATTCCAAAGAATGCCGATTTAGCCCAAGCAGCTCCAATCTTGTGTGCTGGTGTCACCGTATACAAGGCTTTGAAAACTGCAGACTTGTTGGCTGGTCAATGGGTTTGTATTTCTGGTGCTGCAGGTGGTTTAGGTTCCTTGGCTATTCAATATGCTATCGCTATGGGTTACAGAGTCATTGGTATCGATGGAGGTGCCGATAAGGGAGAATACGTCAAGAGTTTGGGAGCAGAGGCCTACATTGACTTTACAAAGGAAAAGGATATAGTTGCTGCTGTGAAAAAGGCAACCAACGGTGGTCCGCATGCTGCTATCAATGTATCTGTGTCTGAACAAGCCATTAACCAATCAGTTGAGTATGTGAGACCTTTGGGTAAGGTTGTGTTGGTTGGGTTACCAGCCGGTTCAAAAGTCACTGCTTCTGTCTTCAGTGCTGTTGTTAGATCGGTTGAGATTAAAGGTTCTTATGTTGGTAACAGAAAGGATACTCAAGAAGCCCTTGATTTCTTTGCCAGAGGTAAGGTTCATTGTCAAATCAAGATTGTTGGTCTTAGTGAGTTGCCTGAAGTTTTTAAGTTGATGGAGGAAGGAAAGATTATGGGAAGATATGTACTTGACACAAGTAAATAGATTGATGGGATATGGACGAGCCCCAATGCTGAAGTATACAAGAAGATTGAAATGCTTTTAAGGGAAAACATGTTTGTTGTAGACTTGGAAGTTGATACGACGAGGTACAAAGTCTCCACCTTCTCCCGTCTGTCATGCAATAAAACCATTCTCTATCTAGTTCATCATCTCTTCCAGTTCATTGATTCATCTACCTTTTCTCAATCTTGTCGCGCAACACATTCAATTGTATTTGGTTGGTCAAGTTTTCGTCATTTATGAGCTCTATAGTCTTGTTCTTTTCCTTCATTTCCAAATTCAAGTTATCAATGCCTTTTTGCAACTTGGATGCCAATTTTTCCAACTTGATAATCTTCTTATCCTTCTCCTTGATGATAGCTTCTAATTTCTCGTTTTTCAAAGTAATTGAATTAAGGTTGGATATCAACTCTTCATTTTCAGCTCGTAGTAGATGATTGTCCTTTGCAACAGCTGCGGCGTTATCAGTTGTCTGTAGGGGTTCTGATTTGTTACTTTTATGTTTCACCTTCTCGTTTTCAATGCCCAATACTGTGGATGGGGACGGTGATTTGGAACTGAATGGGGATTGTTGATGCTCATCATCATCGGCTTGCTGTCTCTGTTGCAGTTGCTCGAGAAGTAGCTTACCCACTAGTTGTTGAAATGCAAAGTAATACTCCGAGTCTTTCTTTTCTATTTCATCCCTGATCTTCAAACGCTCAAGTATGACATCTGACCAAGGTCCGGAGCTCATATGTATCGTTTGTGATGCAGTGAATGTAGTCTCCAATGTTTGCAGTGGAATGGGTTACACTTCCGATTTTCCGCGCCTGCACTTAGATAAACAAAAAAAAACAAACCTTTCGGTCACCAACCAAAGAATCACCCAGGCGACCACCACCAATCAGAGATCACTGGATTTGCATCTGCAGTGGAAGCAAACTTTCTGTGCCACCGAGATATATATATATATATATATTGGCTATCTTTCCACAATCCTTAGGAGGCCCTCAATTTCTTCTGGTCTAAATTGCCTTTGATGTATTATGGATCAGCAAACACCCACTTCCCCAGAAGCCAACATAAATATACGAGATAAGCACCCACCAGCACATGAAGCTTCCAAGCTAATTGCACCCCCTGATACAGAAACAATCACCCAACTACCGAATTCAACCTCAAGGTCTGTGCTATCTTGGCTCACGAGGCTGCAAGCAAATCACAACGCCACTAGCAACAATGTGGCATGTCAAGATGAGACATTTCAAGTAAATGGGGTGATCGCCCAAGCTACGCCACCTGCATTGACAACGTCTACAGCTGGTGATGTGGTAGTGGCTGGTCCTGAAGAGCCTCCTCTACCGCAAAGTTCTTGGTACTCATATTACACATCTTTTATATTTCCCAGTAGTGGAGAATCTCCAACAATGGAACACATACCGTTGCTACAAGGCAATTTGTCCACTATTAAAGATGAGGATGAAGGGACCAGCAGCGGATCAGGAGGATGGTTTGGTTGGCTTTTTGGCTCCAAGCAGCAAACACAGGAGGATGAAGTAAGTGATGAATCGAGTGAAGCATACAAAGCCGCCAAAGCCGTTGTTGAATCATCAAAAGAGGAGTGTCATTATGTATACAAGAGTAGCGACGAGTTTCAAACATTTGAAATGAGTGTCAGTGGAACACCAACCGAATACCTACCTGTGCTAATACATACAAGAAAGCATAAGCCAGTATCAGCTAATGAGATCTTTGAAAAAACCTTACGACAAAAGAACATTGTTGACAGCGAAGCTCCGTCTGCTCCTTGTATCTCCCCCAAATTTGTCGACAATTATCGGGAAATTACATGGAAAACAAAAACGCGATTGATTACGACGGACTTTCTTTGTGGATACGATACTGAACTGCATCTATATCGGAAAAAGCAGGGGCTGATAGTTCGCACTAGAACACAATTGAGGAAGATTGTTGTCATCAGTGTTCATAATTTCTTACCTGTCAAGTTAGTGCGGGCGCTAATTGGTGAATACACAGGTACTGCAATAGGATATGGTAAATTGGCAACAAAAGCACTACGGACGTGGCTCAAGCAAAACAACCCGGAGTATCGTGAGGATGAATATACAATCGACTGCATTTCCATCGACGGACAGGGTAAAGTAGCGACATGTGTTGCAGATTCAATTTTACTTTTGGGAAACTACATCAAAGAGCTTAACGAGTGCGACTTTATCTATGTTGTTGGATATGGTACTTCTTCCCCCATAGCCATAAACATAATGGCTGAACTACTATCCCAAAATCACCAGTTGTGCAGAAAAAGGATTGGCATTTTAAGCATGTCGGGCAATTTAATGGGTCCTGTACCGTCAAAGTTTTCCAAAATTGTCTACCGAGCATACACGCCACTTGAAAACGAGATTACTCGAGAAGTGTTTGAGTACGAAAAGAAGGATAGTGTATTGTCTCGCAAGTTGACGGAGTCGGTGAAATTCTTGCTTGATCAAAATGTCAAGTTTACATTCTCAAGTACACTTAGCCCCTCGTCGTTCATTCCATTATATTCATCATTGGGGCTGCAGTTTGATCATCCCAATATACATCGAAATTTATATCAAGTGAATGTGACTCCGTTCATTTCGTCAGTTTTGGATCTTGCTTGTCAAATGAAGAACTTGGGTGTGTCTAAAGACCACAGTATAATACAGATATTTGGTGATAAATTGGACACGGGCAAGACAAACAAGTACCCCTTTAATGACGAAGAGGTTTATTTCGAGAGTCTTCGGTATTTTTTAGAGTCGACAAGCTTGCATAAGCTGAAACCAGTTCAAATTAGAAAAGGAGCTTCAGGGACTTCAAATTATGATCTTTATCAGTTGCCTTTTTATTTCAGAGGGTTTATACAGGAATTCAGCGCAGTGAAGCATGTTAATAGCTTGCAGCAACTCAAAAAAATGATAATGGAGTACAGGAATTGGGAGCCAACAAATTTGAATTCTAAAGATGTCAAGTATTGTTTAGAAGCGCTTGACGAATTCCAAATTGAGGAGCTATTTCTTTAGATTACTGGTCAATACAAAAAATGATTTTGTGATGTAAAAAAATTGGGTATTCTCTCGACATGGGCTTTCTATCTCGTGAACTTTAAACCAAAAATGGCGTATCATTACTATACTACTAATCAAAACAAACTGAGAAAAGTAAACGTATAAACGACAAAAATACAAAAAAAAAGAATAACAACATCTAAAAGTGGCAACTTCATGGACACAGGGAAACTGCATGACACAACAACAGGGGTGACAAGATCATTGGCGTATCATCATTGGTCTTGATGTAGGAGCAACGGTCAAGTATCCTTCCGTCTCGTCACCCGAGTCATCTTCACCCAAATCCAGACTAGCAAACGACTGGTTGGCCAGACCAGACATTCCGCTAGAATGGGTGTGCAACGACATCAAGCTTTGAAGCTTTTCTCCATAAATCTTGACCCCCGAAACAAATCTCCGGACTCTTGCTTTGAACATCTTCATTGGCGTGTCCGCCATATACCTGGAATCGGGTCTCCACTCTTCTTCTTCTTCTTCATCGTCATCCCACAAGTCACACCGAATTGTCGTTGCATATTCCCCCCGCATAGCAGCTGGACAGACATCTTCAGTCTCTTCCTCCTCGTCCAAATCCAAACCAAGCTGAAGCGCAACACGTCCTGATTCGGTGTCGGGCGAGAATATTGGAACCACTTCGTCTGTAATGTACTCACCAGGAACCCATCCAGTCCTCTTCAAGATGCTGGGCTTTCCATCAATGTTTGTTGTTGGCGCTTTCCTCTTGGATCCCCAAGACCACTTCCTACGAAGTTTCTTGTCCTTGTTCTTCCCTTCAATAACTCGAGTAAAGTCCTGATGCTTGTCATTGCTAAACTGACGCACCTCCATCTTATTATTGAACTTCACTTTGTTACCACTGTCTGACTCACCACCAATGAGCAACACTTCTGGGGTCCATTTCATTGGGGCTGGTGGTTGAGGTGGTCTGTAGTTAAGGATTGCGTTTTCTATACTGGAGATGGACCCATTCTTTGATTTGTCCCCATTTGGGTCACTCACTGCAACAGCAGCTTCAACGTCATCTTCGCCGCAATCGTCCCATGGAGTGGCAAATCTTCGGACTGGTCCCGTGACAAGGCTAGGTGTGGAAGACATCTTTGGTTCATCTGAGTTGATCTTGTTGTACTTCAGCTTCTGCGCGGTCAGTGGTTTTCGTGGGTTGAATGACGAGACTTGAGGATTGAAACAGTTGGTGGAGGTGTTTTTGTTGAGAATGCTCAAAGTGGATGGCAGAAAGCTTGTTTGGTTTTGTTTTGGTTGTTGTGTGTGTCTCTTGGTCCTAGCAAGCATCATTTTTGAGGACTCAATAACCATCGACGTATCATTCTCGTGCTTGTCGTCGTCCTTGAAGTCTAGTGGGTAGAATGAGCCCCCTTTAACAACGCCAACGTCTTCATCCTCTTCTCTTCTCATCTTGGACTTCGTCAACCTTTTACTTGAGAAGTCATTTGATCCGTGTTGATGTTTGGTGAATGCGCTTTTGGTATGGGTAGTTGTATTTGAAACATTTGATGATGTAGACTGGGAAAAAACGGGGTAGAATGCGGTAGCTTTGTGTTGGCTCTTGACAGTTCTGGTTTCAGCTGAGAAGTGAGTGTTTGGATGTGCTTGAGTGGGTGGTGCTGATGTCTTGTTCTTGTCATCAACATATGAAACCAAATCCTTCAACTCCGACAATGCTGATTCAATCAAAGTAAACCCGTAGTCATCGTTTTCCTTACTGTCGGATACGTAAGCGTTGTTGAAATGAGAAACGCCTTGGCCCTCTTGCGAGGAGATAGTGATAAAGCTGTACATGTGTAAATGTGGTTTTGGTAATGGTGAGGAGAAAGAAAGGAGGAAAGTACAATTCAGAATCTGACTTACTCCCTGGGCCCTTTTATAGTTTTCAAAAGTTTGTAGGAATATCAAAAAAATTTTGCACCCTTTTTGAAGGCTTTTTGAGGTACGCAAAGAGTCACTGTAGCTTGATGGATAGTAAGCCCTTGGTAAGTGCCCCTGCCTATGTTCAAGCTGGGAGGGCTGATCTGGCCTGTGCATATGGAATTAGGCACTCTAAGTTTACGGGGTTATGCAGGTTGGAAGTTCCTGTAACGTTTTGTTCCAACAACACGTGACCAAAGTGATGAGTCCATCTGCGTCTTAGATGATGATCCAGAAACACAATGGCGCGGATCTGTCACCAATATCAGAGACCTGAGGGTAGTAGCGTGCTGTATAGGGACATTCACTTAATTCTTCTAGCTGTTCTTGTTTCAAACACATTGATGCAGTATCGGAAATGTACTGTAGACCTGAAATGAACACGCGATTGGGCGAATGTGACCTTCCCGAGTAGTAGTCAAGATCAAGGTCAATCTGCTGTGGCCATAGCCAAACCTCTCGTTCCAGAGTCTGTACTTTCCAACCCCAACGAGCTTGTTGTATGCATGAACTGTGAATGTACACCTCCAAAACAAAGGAAACACAAAGGAAAAACAAAGGAAATGGAAACTCATCTATATTCGAACCTTCATTTGCGTATCATAGAACGGCCGGTGGGACACAATGCAGTCCCACTGTACGACGGCTATGGGTGGAAAGTCACCAATGATAGATCTGTCTCTTTGATGCTCAAATTTTGTAAAGTATTGACAGTCTATGATCTCTGTATCGTGAAGCTTGAAAGTCATTATGAGCCATTACAGAAGAGTGGGTACAGAGTGAGACCTGAGGAGTAACACTGCGGTGTCGAGGTGGCAAGACAATGGGACTCGTGTATGGAGAGTTGACCGGTGGCTAAGTAGTAGCTAGGCAGGAGATGGGCTCATTTCTCTGAGTAAACAAAGTCAAGAATAAATGGAAGCTGCGGGAAAGAGCCGTGCTAGTAGTAGTGGGCCATGTGTGAGGCGGTGTCATTGATACTGAACCCAAAGGATGGCTGAATCATTTGGAGCTGCGTCCTTGTGTGGGAGGGGAGAAAAATAAACCACGCAGACGGCACACACACACACACCAAAAAAGGAGCAACAGCTACCACGCCATAAAGAACAAAGCGATTGTGCAAACAGCACCAATACCTCTCCTCTGTTGACTAGAGCAAGCTTCGCATCCAGTTGGCTTACAACAAGCAGTCAGTTTACTCGATGTAGTATGACACTACTTTTGGACATAACACGTATTTCCACATTTGGATGCAAGTTTGTGAAATTCCACAATTCCTAGATCTACTCTGTCTATGACAGCTAGTCAAGATTGGTGTATACACATGTTGCAAGTGTAGCTGATAGATTCTATGGACACCGGCTTACACAGATTACTGCATGTTTATACAACTGTTGTGTCGCGTGCAAGTTGCGACACGTAATTTGAAGTTTAGGAAGGTCGTACTTTTAAGCTCTGTTTATGGGCTGTACACCCCTACAAAAGTTAATGTTCTTTATATTAAGATCAGTAACTTCCCTTTGAAAATCTAAGTGTAATTTCCTTTTGAGCCCAATATGTTGTACTGTAAAGGTTTCTACTTCAAACGGTACTCGTTACAGATTCCAACCTCTTTTAGAGGTTGAGATAGAAAAAAATGCCAGTTCAGTATAGTGTGCTAAGTAGTGCAATTTTTGAAAACCTCAAAATGGAGCAAGATGCTTAAAAATGATATATGCATATCTCCAGAGGTGTCTCTACATATACGTATTCTTATCTTTGACATACTAGACTAAAACGTTTACCTAGCGGTTCTTGAAAAGTGCTCTCCACTCTATCGAAAAATGGCATTTTTTTGCAAATAGCCGCGACGCTTTTCCAAAAATAAACAAAGGGACAAAAGATGAAACCAATACGCCCTTTCGAACAACTCGGAAGACCACCAAGCGCATTACAATATTCTATCCCTCAATTAAAACTACTTAAGAGTAGAGTTGTTATTTCCATTCACAAAGACAATACTTCTAGTGTGTACCAGGATCAAAACTGAACTACAGACACAATTGATAAAGGATAAAAGTATTTCTTTGTCTCAATCCTGAAGTTTCAATCCAAACAGTACAACATAAACACTATTCCATTACCTTCTTGTCCCTACTCCGCATCGGGTGAAATTTTGTTCTGAGGACAACATTCGACTTCAACAGTGAGCTTTAACCACATAATGGCTGAACGTTTAAGCTTTCTGAAATCCGATAGAGACAGTATATACTCCTTCGACTCAGTTAGTACAAATGAGCGCTTGCTTGATCGATTAGATTTTGACAATGAATCGGTGGTATCTGTTGACTCATACAAACCTTCCGCAGTTGGCTCTCGTGGATTTCATGATGTAAGAAACAGACCCAATCCGGCCAGAGGTCCAAATATTGGACCTATCGCACAAAAATTAGGACCGCCTCATAGTTCATCCCAGCCAAATTGTTTCACACTTCCTCAGCAGCCAATGAATAGTCTAAATGCAATACGGAGGATGAAAGATTACGCAGCATCTGGGGATCTCATGGGGGCTGAATTGCGAGATCCGGGGTTCAATGAGAAACGAAACCCCTATACGAATGTCACCACTGCCAACAAGAATGTGGCCAGCAGTCACGCCGTAGTCAGCGGGTCAAATAATGTTAATGGCCGAATGCAGGGCATATCTTCACAGTCTAGGGCCCATGGGTCGCCAAATACCAATTACGTCCACCAAGGGGCCACAAACCTTGCCCACCTTAACACCAGTAGTCAGCGCTCCATAAACGCAAGCTTTGGAAATGTGTCAAACACCACACTACCTATATCCGAAATGGAATTACAAAAAACCAGTTCCAAGTTTGGAGGCCAAGAAGGGCCGTCAATTTCAAGCGCCTCGTCTATAAACTCAAGATATACCCCGAACTACGATAAATCACACCAGGTTCATGCAGTAAAACCTGATGATAATCTGATAGAAACAGCGCACATCAAAATGCTGAATATGAGTTTAATTTCAATTGCGCAGGATAACCCCAATCACTCAGGCACCCTCGTGGAAAGAATGAGCCTGAAAAATCACGAGCCAGCAGCTCGCAGTGATATCAAGCTAGGCCCTCGAGTTGCGAGCCTACAAAGCCATGTAACTGAGATGGGAAAACCGTTCGATCATGGATTGTACGAGCAATCACTGGCCAAGAACCCCAGCGCCAATGGAAGTACCGGTGAGTACGTGCGTGATCAAGTCACGAAAAGCCAAGAAGTACTGCCAGAGTCAAGAGTAATGACAGCACAGGAACTTAGAGCTCAAGGAAATCATCGAGAAGCTTCATACCAACTACAAATAGCTGCTAATGAGCCCTTCAACTACTCAAAAGCCATGTATCTTTACGCTATTGCGTTGAAGCACGGGCAGGGTGTAAAACAAAATTACAATTCATCTATAAAGTGGTTGTGCAAGTGTATTTTGACGACTCAGGTGTCTGAGAAGAATGACCAACCCCTCCGAGGATTACTCTCAAAGTTGAACAAGTTATCACAGCGAGACTTGCTCCAATTGGTTCTTGCTGATATAGAACGTCCTAGAGATATAGGAGGGCTCAGAAGCAGTGAAAATCCTGAGGTGTTTTACAACCACTTCAAATCCTTCAGCAAGATAGAGGTGAACAAAATTATGGCAAGAAACAAAAGCAAGGCCGATGTTGTTGCTTTGAGCTATTTCGAAATTGGGATGTACCTTCTACATGGGATGGGTGGTGATTCAAATCACAAAACAGATGAAGCCCATGGAATTAGTTGTCTTTCGAAATCAGCTGCAATGTGCTGTGTAGAAGCAATGGAGCAATTGGGTGAAGTGTGGGCTACAAAGACAAAATTTCGAAAGAAGGATTTAAGCAAAGCTGCTGCGTGGCTAAGAAGTGCTGAGATATTTGGTGCAAAATCTATTGGAAATAGCTGGATCTATAAAGAAAAGTATCTAAAGTCAACTACCAATTAGGTATTTAGAACAAATGTCGCTTGATAGTGCTTTTGGCTTGTGTCACAAACTTTCTTTTTTACAGACACCTATTAGTTGATGTGTATAAAATCTAAACGTGTCTAGGTCTGACCACTTTGTAGCTTATAGTTGATGCTTTTATTTTGATGCAACTTGTTGTATGTCTCAAGGAAGTAGACCGTTACATTGAACAATATGGAGTTGACCTCATTTAAGTTGGAATAGATACCCAATGGTAGATAGTATATTTGTAAGCTAGGCTTGATCGACCTGTCAAAAGCCTCCAAATTGTAGGACTGTTGAACTTGGGCCAAATTCAAAGTTCTCTTTTCCCAAACACAGGAGAAAGTGGATTGAAGCATCGAATCAAGAAACTCCGGCTGCGAATTCATAAAATATAGTCGTGCACTCTCGGCATTTTTGATGCTCAGCTGTTGTAACTCAATTACTTTATTGCTCAACGAAGAATCGCCGAAGTATGCAAGAGTGGAGGTCGTTTCGTCTCGTGGCAAACTCATCTTCTCGATATACGTCACCACAACTTTCAGCAAAATTGAGTTTATCCTCTTGGTTACCAAAGCCCGAGTCTGAAACATCAAGCATTTGATGGTTCTCAAGAATTCAAGCTCAAAATGACCATTCTCTGTCGCACTCCAATCATCCCTCACAGAAAGTAAAAGCCCAATATACGTGATTAGTCCCTCAATATCCTTATCCAATGCCTTCCAAGACCGCTCGCTCGGAAGAGTGTCAGTAACAACTTTGGATCGCTCGTCATAGTCTAATGATACCATCTTCATGATGAAAACATCTATCTGCATCACAATCACTTGTATATCTCTGCATTCAATTTGTGGCGCCTTCCAATTATCGGGAAATGTGCCACGTGTCAGTTCCAATGCCTTCCACATAATATCGATATCATTTTGGACATTTTTACATATATCCAGCCAGTATTTTTTCTTTGTGATAAGCTTGGCCTTCACATCTTCCACTTGGTCTTTTGTCAATTTGAATTCAACTGAAGAAGATTGCTCAAATCCCAGAAGATCATTTACAAAGGCGCCGGGTAGTGTTTGCTTGCGGCCTAGATCATGCTTTGCTCGTAGCGACTTGATCTCACATTCCAAACCTTTAATCTGCTTGGACTTTTCCCTCAATTGCTGTTGTTTCTCCTCAATGATCTTGACAAGTTTTTCAATTTCCTTTTCATTCTGTTGCTTATCCTCAGACAGCTTATGCAGTTTGGTGTCTACTTCTGGGGGTATTTCTGTAGGTGTGCTCTCTTTCTCCTTAGAGTTATATTGCAAATCTTCCGAACTGTCTACTGCATTGCCCTTCTTGTAAACTTCAACCATACTTGAACGACCAGCGTGTTGAACTGTATCGCCTACTCTAGTGTTGGCGTGTCCAAGTGCAATCGACTCGTCTGCAGTGACATTCGACAGCTTTGACAAAGCTGCAACGCTTTCCTTAAATTTCATTTTGTTACTCATCGTGACTCGTAGAAGAAATTTCGGCTTTGCGAGATCATTCACTTTGTTGATCCATTTGAAAACCCCCACATCTGTCTGTACATTCCTAAATATAGGGGCAGTAGCCAGTGTCTGGCCCTTTTTGGCAGAGACACCTCGCTTTGACTCCAAACGTTGGCTGGACCGTTCCTTTGACAAGGACTTTGTGTAACTCCCTTCATTGTTGAAGGAATCTGGCAATGTCGGCGACAATGGTCGTAGCGTCTCGTCACCTGACGCTTTGTCTTTACAATCCCTTGAGTATCTGGCTCCTCTGGCAAGCCTTTTGCTGGGCATATGTTGTAAAGTGGGGTCTAGATGTGAGGTTGCCTCTCTTTCGGGAGATAGTACTTCCTCCTGGCTCAAGCCCGGCTCGAAAGGAGTGGAGATCAAGAGCTTGTGTTCGGTGTATGAAAGTGATTCTTCTTTGTCCTGTGTGCTCGAACTTTTTACCTGGTTAGTGGGATTTGAGGCGACAGGAATCTGGAGTTGAGGTATAGTGGGTGATAACGGTGGAGGTAATGTGCCCCTTAGTACATATTCTTCTGAGATGTCCTCAAGTTTCCAATCCATTGTGGTGTTAATATACAGTTTCAGTGGTCTTGAGTTGACTCCTGCAACGGCATCTATCGATTTTGTTGAAGTAGCTGCCCCATTCGGGAAAGGAGTAGACAGTCTGGAACGTGTGACAGTCGCATTGAATTTTGACAGAAAGCGCTTCGTGGGTGTAGCCGAGTTTGTGAATGACGAAGACTTTAAAGACATGCTATGGGTAAGTCATGTGGATGTAGGGAAACAGAAGTATGTGACTGTGTGATACTTTTCAACAGCGAAAAGAAAGTATGTGACAAGTAAACAACAAAGTGGTGCGAGAATTCTGTCTGTGTCTCTGCCTGTGTCTCTGCCTGTGTCTCTGTGTCTCTATGTCTCTGTGTCTCTGTGTCTCTTTTACTTACTACTGATCAAAGAGTAGCATTTACAACCACGAACAAGAGCAGGCATATTCCGTATAAGCTTAGTAGAGTAGACATGGTGAGAAAAGCAGCTTCCCAGTGAGACTTGACTCAAACTGATTCCAACTTTACATGCCAAACATTACGAAGTGATACACAGTCACTGATCTATAGTTAACTTTGTTACATGTTTCATAGTACCATCACCTATACCGTCTTTGTATCGATAAGGGGGGTCTCATATAGGCTCCACTTATCAACTTAAATTTTATTCAAGCCTCTCTCAATGAGTGCTCCACTTGCCTTTGAAACCAAACACACATTCCTCAAAACATTGGAAATCAATTTATTACAAAACAACAACAACAACAACAGATTGACTGACTGGAGTAGTAGAAAGAAAAGGGAGGAGAGAGAAGAGAGAAGAGAGAAGAGAGAAGAGAGAGCAAAAAAATCTCAACACAGATTGTTAAATCAAATCTATCACTGAAGACAGTTCAACAGTGGGGGAGAGCCAGTTCACATGCACTTCAGCTTATTGTAAATCCACACCATTCTCCCATTGCGCGTATTAATTTCAAAATAGCTAGACCACCACATCTACTTCGAAAGGTAACGTGCATACACACACTCAAATCTCGAGCAAAGATAGAAAGTATTTTAGATTCCAGCGAAGAATCTTAGACTCTCCCTTGAAGCACAGCACAGTTCGAAACACGTCCAAACAGTTTCCCACGCGTATTCGAAATGTCCAATTACAACGAAGTCCAGCCCACAGCATTCAATTCTAAGAATAGAGGGAATAAAAATAATCGTAAAAGAGGAGGCAGTAAACGAGGTGCTGGGAAACAAGGTGATGGTAAACGAGGCAGTGGAAACAGCGGTGGACATGGTTTCCCTCCTAATCAAGAGCGACTGAATCGCGCGGATGGGTACAATCTGGCATTTGGGAAAGGATGGGGCAGTGGGCACCACCAAAATAATAGCCAAAATCGTTCCAACAATAATAACAGCTTTACTAACGCGAACAGCATCTCTATAGGCGACGACTTCTTTGCAAACGATGCCTATGCTCCAGAATCAGTCATCCAACGAAAGGAAGCGACTGAATTTCAACCTACAAGCTATACTCAGATATCCAGACGCGACACCAGAAACAGTACGGCATCAGTCCCATATAATAATGGCACAGAACGTCATTTAAGCAACTCTACGCAACGCTATACAAAGGGGTTGGGGTCACCACCACTGCGTCGGAGTTGGAGTGACAGCGATAGTGGGGTAACGATCTTTACGAAAGAAGCTGAGCCTTTCCATATCCCGATAGATTATTCAAGTGATATGCCACCATTTAAACAATACGTGCAGCGAAGGCTAAATGACATTGCAAAACTTCCTATATCATTACGAGAAGCGGCAGAAGAGCAATTGAAGGAGATTTTAAGAGATGCCGGTAACAAAAAGCTTCTGGCGTTGAACGACTGGTCAAAACAAAAGATTCCTCTATTGGACGGTGGGGGTGAGTTAGTTTTACAGTGGGAGTTGGAGAATGGATCACTGCATGGAATGAACGCACTGGGTGACACAGGGCTTGTTTCAACTAACCAAATGCAAATCAATCGATCTACCACACAAACGCCTGAATTTTCCAACAACAGTATAAGTATTCAGGAAGGATCTGCTCGGAATGAAGCATTTGGCAACAGAGAACCCAGGTCTGCTCAAGATATAACGCTTTTGGATGCCCAATCTCCTACACCAGAGCAAAAAGTGTCGAGGGGACATATTGATTTAAATTCAGGAGAGGTGCCTACATCACAATACGTGTCTTACTCGGCTCTCAATGGCAAGAGAATTGCAGATGATGAGTATGACTCGAATGAGAGAAAACGACAAAGAGCGGAAAGGTTTCAAGCCGCAAATTTGTCCAGCACTCAGAGACTGTCTCCACTTGGCGAACAAAATAAGGGTAGTGGTCCAATCGTGGGCCTCAATACAAATTTGGAGAAGTCGTACTTGCGGTTGACTTCTGAGCCTGATCCGTATCGGGTACGACCGCAGTTCATTTTGGAAAAAAGCGTTGATTATGTATTCAGAAAATACGAGTCATTGCAAGGAAAAGAAGCTTTCAACTATATTAACGATCAGTTGAAAAGTATAAGACAAGATCTAACAGTTCAACACATTAAAAACGATTTTGCTATTTCAGTTTATGAGCAAAATGCGAGGGTTTCTTTGAAGCATAATGATCTTGGAGAGTTCAATCAATGCTTGGGCCAATTGAAGTTTCTCTACAACTACAAAAGACATACATCATACGGGTGGCAAACACGTTTCGTGTTGCTGGAGGTTGAGATGCTTTGCTACAAACTCATATACATGATGATCACAAACAACAATAGTGAAATCAGCAAAATAAAGCTAAGCTTGCTCCAGGATTACAAAGGATTCAAAGAAAAGGAAGATTCGGATGCAATTTATTTCAGATTTGTCAACTCCCTCTTCAAGCTCAATGGCTACAGAATTACTAATAATTGTTTCAAATTTTACGAAGAGTTGGGCAAGTATAAGGGAATAGCAGGCACACAATTAGCATTGCAAGTGATCGAGTTCTTTTTGGGTAACAAGGTAAGATTGTCTGGGCTTTATGCAATTAGTGGGTCGAGCCGATCAGGTATAAAAATTAATTCATTGCAAGGTATATTGAGCTTTGCGGATCAAAAAGATTGTGAAGCCTTTTTGCTGCGTCTACACTTGGACACGTTTGTCAAAAAAGGCGAGTTTCAGGCATTTGGAGCCAAAGGTACGGTGAAGAACTTGTACAAGAAATCATTAAAAGTAGACATCAAAGGTCAAATTTAGTAATAAATTTGAGAAATGTGGAATACAATTTTTTTTTTTTTAAAGGAAATTCTTCTTCTACTTCACTTAGTTCTAATCTAATGTTGGTCCTAGCGCCATTAAGGCAAAATTATGCTTATTCTTTTCGTCGGCATTGTCGATGTAAAATTGAATCTTGTCAATCAATTTCTGATCCTTAATGATGCTCTCATTGCCAGTGGAGCTGATTTCACCCAAATCTATAGGCCCATTTCTTCTGCCGTCCAACTCGTATAAATGATTATCTCTACCTTTAATAAAACTGATGAAATGAAGATCAACTGCCTCTTCTGGTGGAGGTGCCTCTGTTTGTCCTTTGGAACCAAACTGTTCATCAAGTTTGATACTCTTTTCCAACTGTTCCACAATTAAGCTTGCTTCAACTACGGATAAGTTCCGTCCTTGGATTTTTGAAACCAAATCGTTTATTTGCAGATGACTCAATGTCAAATCAGGCAGAATATTAGTCAATAAATGCAACAATGCGTACAATCCACAACCGTTTCCAATCGTTTGTTTGAACCAATGTACATTGCCGTTTTCATTGTTGTATGTCGCCGACTGGGAATCTTTTTCCTTCCTGTACGCCTCGTAGTTTGGAGTCAATGGGAATAATAAAATAATGCCAAATATTGGCTGTGGTAAAAATGACAAGAGCTCCGGATCTGTTAGTGAGTAGACATCATGGAATTGTAATATCGGAGAGAGGCCCAACTTGTGTGAGAGCTCAGTGAATATAGAAGGATTAGATTCTAATGGAATCACCAGTTTCAGGTCGGCCATGTTCAATGTGAAGATGTGATGAAGAGTGAATAAAGAGAAGGGTTTTGGTGTGTGCATTTTTCCGTTCGCCACATTTAATTTTATCCCCGCGTGTACCATTATTCTTTGGGCAAAGATGAAGAGATGCAAATTCTATGAGTTGTATCGATTCTTGGTCATTGAAACCCTAATACACATAACATGAGCTAATCATTAGTCCAGACCATTTTATACAGTGGCTAAAAAACTGTGCACGCTTTACTTCAATAGTAGGAAACTCTTTATTTTTTGCATTAAACTCAAGCAAAAATTTTTATATTGAAACACCAGCTGGTCTGTCATCTGAAAAAAGTACCCATGCTTTTTGAAATGGATTTACTGATATCAGATTGTTTTTCTTTTTCAAAGTAGATTAGTTCATCTTAGACGAAATAAGTTGTGATTGCTTACAAAAAGAAGTAAAATATTTAACCAAAATAAAAAGCCTGCTATAAAATTTTCATCAGAAATGGTTCTGTGGTCTAGTTGGTTATGGCATATGCTTAACACGCATAACGTCCCCAGTTCGATCCTGGGCAGAATCATTATTTTTTTCTTCTTCTTATTTTGCACCTTTCAAATGTTTCTGTTGCACACCACCTCCCTATAGGCCCCTTAATCCAAAATGTTCACGATCTATTTTGCTCCTTTTAAACTCTATAATTATTAATAGTCTAAACACTTTGTATTTGTTCGAATTCTTTACGCAAATTCTTGAATAGTTTTTTACTCTTGCCAATCTTGTGACTCTGGAGCAACCTCTTGTACACTTTGACGAGTCGAGGAAACCAAACCCGCTCACCAATCACCATTAAAGCAAAATTCAAAACTGCAAGTGATAGGATATAATAGTAAAAGTAGCCACCAAGGTTGGTCAACTGCATCAACTTACCAAAGCTCGACCCTTCGTTTACGATAAATAACGCAGTGGACAATGCTATTGCAACAACCAAGTTCAACAAAAAGGGACCATTTTTCAGAATTGGTTCTCTGTATGGGGGACCCTGATTCAAGACAACCGCAATTAAGATATACTGAAAGTTTGAAAACAAGAAAAGAACTGTGTTGTCCGAAGACGCAACTTCATCGTCACTGCCAGGTACGGGTTTGATATACCATGGTTCGTTCTTCACCCACATCCAAATGAGTACTTGAAATATCAAAAGAAGCAAAATGTTGCAAATCAAGGGTATGAGTATTTTCGGAGACACCAAATTTGCTGTGGGCCTCTTGATTGCCAATTTAGGATACGGCTTCGACCAAGACATGAATATTGCCAAGGGCAATATCAAGAACAAATCAATATACAAGAATTGGAAATCACCCAAGTTCGTCCCTGTCTTGTAAAGAATTGTGACTGTGATGAATTGTATAGCAGAATATAGTGACATATATTCAAAGCACGAGAAACTTGTAACCAAACTCGACCTTCCTTCTTTGATAACATCAAGAACACAAGAAATTTCAAATACTCTGGACGTGAAGGGGGCTGCAACAGATGCTTCAGCCTCAGAAAGAGAAATACCCACATCTGCAGCCTTTAAAGCACCACAATCATTCGCGCCATCACCACAAAATCCGACAGTATAATCAATTTTTTGAAGTTGTTCAACTAATTCGTGTTTTTCGTCCGGGGACATTCTCGCGAATATATCACATTTCATCAAAAGATTTTGAGTCAAGTTGGTGTCTTTTATCTCTGTCAATAGTATTCTAAAAATATCACCAGTAATGGCTAATTTGTAGTTGGAATCCTGTCTAATATTAGCTGGTTTTAGTGTGTCAGGGTCTAATCTATTCTCTGGGTCGTTAACATCCTGCCAGGCAATGTATTGCTGATCGTCTTTTGTTTCGACATATGGCACAAATATAACACATTTGCTATCATGAACGAGTTTCGACTCCTTGGCAACACTGATGGCGGTCAAGATGTTGTCCCCGGTGCACATTATCGTACGGACTTTCGCTTCATTCAACTTTTCCAAGGTGGGTGCAGTGGAGGGCTTAAGCTTGTTTTCGAAAACAATGAATCCCGCAAAGACCAAGTTGGATTCTGCATCAGATCTGTCAGGGATAGAGTTGTCAAGTTGCTTGTACCCACACCCTATGACTCTGAATCCCAAATGTGTATAATGATGGAGCAACTCTTCATAGTTGGTTGGTATGGACTCCGGTATGCATACATCCATCATTACTTCCGGCGCACCTTTCGTAAACACAAATTTCCCCTTGTTCGATTTGCAAACCACAGACATACGTCTCAATGAAGCCAAAAACTCAAACTCTTTTTCAATTTTGAGAGATTGTGTTCCTTTGGACACGACCGGTGTTGCCGAATTCAAGTCCTCCTTGTAATCCCATTTTGTAAACCCAAACATCTTTACATCCAACGGATCTCCCATGAGTTCATCATCAATGTGTCGCAATGAATGGCAAGAAGCCATACACTGCACCAAGAAGCTACCGTTATTTGTCTCATGATGGCCACTCCGTTCCAGCTTTATCAACAGCGAATCGGTGACCAAGTCTTCAAAAATGATTTCTTTTCTTCCTTTTGCATTATTTGCCAAGTGAACCCCCAAAACGTCCAATCCTTCCTCCGTCAATGTTCCTGTTTTATCAAAACAAATGACATCAAGCTTCCCACCAATATTGACACGAGTGGGCGCTATGCAGTATATATCCAACTTCTTGAGTCTTGAAATGGCAAACGTAGTACCAATAGTCAATGTCGCTGGAAGCGCGGGGGGAACCACAATGGTTATGATGTCCAATGCCCTTAAAATCATCAACCTTTTGCTAAGACCAAGCTGTATAAAGTTATATGTCGAGTACGTGAATCCCAAAGCGGCAATGAGTGTCATGAATCCAATATACTTGAAAGAGTCTCTGTAAAACTTGAATCCTGTAGGTTTGGGGAACATCATGGACCGAACTAAAGATCCCTTGGTCGTATTGAACCCGGTTTTCAATGCCATAGCAATGACTGGCTCATCATTTGCTGACTTCATTTTTAGTAATTTGGTTCCGTTGAACAAGTAAGATCTCGACAAATTAGGGTCAATGAAATTCTGTGGCAAAAGCTTGACAATATCCTTTGTTGCTTGGACTTTGGTGACTGGCACACTTTCACCAGTCAACATAGATTCATTCAAGACACACTCCCCATTAACAAGCAACGAATCACAGGGAATAACACTTAAGGAAGGATCTATTTCAAAAATGTCCCCAGGTACCAAATCTGTCGAGTCAATTTGCTTCCAAAATCCATTTCTCCACACTCTAACCTCGCACTCAAATTTTGAAATTTGCTGCAATCTCTTCATAGTAGACTTGGTTTCCATCAATGAGTTGACTATCGATACCATGGAAATGACGAAAATGCATGATGCATAGTAATAGTAGTCATCTGCGAGCCACAAGAAGATTGAAAAGATCTGAAACACGTAGAAGGGATGCAAAACTTCGTCAGCAAGCAATTGAACTGTCGATTTTTCATCAATCTCAATTTTATTGGAATTAAAGATCTCAAGTCTTTGTTCCTGAAGTGATTGGGAAATACCCTCCTTGATGGTTTTGATATTCAACCAACGCGTGTCATACCAATTTGAATTGGTCCGGAAAATGTCCTCCATAGGGTCATAAAAAAACTTGATGTACCTGTAAATGAATGAGTGCACATAAGGTATAACTGGATCATTCGATCCTTTTTCATCATGGATAGTTAAAAAGTTTGAAAGTCTTTCATCAAATCGGTGCTTTTCAATGTCAATAATTTGAAGCTCCCCAAATTCGTTTTCAATAACACACCAATCAGCCAAACCTAGCGGACATTTGGATCCCATTAAATTGACTCTGTACCTGGGGAACCACCTCAAAATCAAAAAAGCCACTCCTAAGGTGGTGATACATAAGACGTAATACAAACATTTCTTCCACCAACAGTTTTGATAGCCGGCAATTCCAACAACTATATCCTCTTCCGCTAGATAATATCTCTGCGAATAAAGCTTGGCGGGGAATCGCAGGTAAAAGTCTTGATCAATGTGGTTTGTTTCCTCGTCACCGTCATTGAGTAAGTCTGATTTATCGCTACTGCTTGCATCCGAATGACGTCGGTTCCGCCGTTCAAAATCCACAGAACCGTAATCCGGTGCTTCGGGACTTTGCATCCTGCCGGAATAGTCCTCATCAAAAACCACATCTGCCTGTGCCGCCTCCTCATCTCCTGCATACTTATCAATGGAGTAATCCCAGTCTGTATTGTAATCAACAGGATCTTCAGGATTCTCAATCGTGGACCCACCCTGTGCCATCTCGATTTCATCGGAAGAAAAGAACCGGAATTGCAGCTGGGTCTCATCAGATCGTCTCGACGCAGATGAGCTTACCGACCTCAAGTCGATATTGTTTTCATCTCCACTGAGTAGTGGTGATGTTTCTCGTGATACCACCGATACTCTTCTGTTACCGAAGCTATGAGGATAATGCAATGAAGTAATGGACGAAGGAATGACTTCTGAAGCTGCACCAGAGAACATTTCGTTGTTGTTATCCTCCAAGATGTGACTAGCGGAGGAGTCCACTGACGTAATTGAATTGGTACGTGACCTGAAGCCCCTTCGATCAAACGAAGAAGATCTTCGACTTCTTATACTTGGCCTTTGATTTTTCGTCATTACACAGCGATATCAGAAAGTAAGAAGTACTGAGTGTACTGTCTGGTACGGACCTTGTTGGTAGTTGTGTTGGGACAAATGGTGAATGCTATGAAGGGACGGAAATTGTGCAGTAGCAGCAATGAAGTGAAAAATGGGAAAAAAAAAATAAAAAAAAACAAAAAAAATAAAGAGAAGGAAATTGACAATTGTGTTTGACAGTTACTATTACTAAAGATAAGAGGACCAAAACAGTTTTGATTGAGCTTTATTACTGTCTATACATACGAATGCAAAAAAGGAACTCCTAAATACAGAAGTAGAAGAATAGTAGAGAAGATATAAGGCAAAGAGTTGACTTTATAGGCTGATTATAGTATGGTAGTCCTCTCTTTTACACTTGGCCTGCATATAAAACAAAAGCTATAATGTCAATGTTTTCTTCCTCACAAATTCTCATGTGTGTTTCCATCGTATACTTGTCCTTTTTAACTACTTCATACATACTACAAGATATACTCTGACAAAGTGGGGGGGTGGGAAAAAAGAGGAGATTTAAATAACTTCAATGAAATTCAAGTATGGCATTGAAACTAAAACTAAAAGTCAGACCAACAGACAGCTCAACAAATCCACCGCTGCTTCGAAATGAAGAGGACATTACAACGAAAAAAGCACCTACAGAATCTCCACATATACCTTCAAAACGAACCGTGGAAGTAAAAGAGCCCAATCAAGAAGAAAAACCAAAGAAACTAAAACTAAGCCTATCAAAGAGTAAGCCAACACACACATCAGATAATGTAAATAAGCCAAGATTTGTGCCTCGTGTTAGGATAAAGCCAACCAGGATACCTGGAGAAGGCTATGACTCCGAGGCACCTGATTTGGAAGATGACCCTTTGATTGAACAAGGGATAGTATTGAGGTTCTTGGATGATACGAATCTTGAGTTTGTGCACAACGCAGTTGAATCTGGTGACTTGACAGGCCTCAATGTAAAGTGGATTACAAGAGACAAGGCCGTTGTTAATGTTAATGGGACTCTTTATTCAGCAAGACTAATCGACTTGCCCACGTTGGTAGAAGTTTACAAAACTGTTGACAAGAAAAACATACTCAAAAATATGGACGTGTCACAGATATTGCTAGTATTGCATACCATAAATCCCACCCAGTTGAACACAGAGAAGGACTTTGAAGTTCCTGATGAACTTTTATTTAAGCACCCATTTTATGATCATGCCAAGAACCACGAAGTACCTCGAAAGCGCTACGTTTCTCGAAATGGAGTGTTGGACCCTTTCAAGGATGTTTATCGCAGATTCCGACCAACACGAGCTGATCATCGAGTGATTCAAGATATTGAGGATAGAGTTGATGCTTTAATCAAACTAGACAACGAAGCCGAAGAGAGTCACTTTGAACTAGTGAATCCACTGTCAATACCAAAATATGGCCATTTGAGTAATTCCCCATCCGCTGCAGCGTCTCCATATCCCGAATCAGTTAACCAAAGACTTGACAAACAGTTGAGATTTGAGTCGGAAGGTGCTTCTGAGTCAAAGAAACAAAGTATACAGGGTGGAATCAATGTTTTCGAGACAAGAGCAGAAGAGGATAATCAATTGAATGAAGATGATTTCGAAATCAATCTCGAGGAGGAGTTGAATAAAGTGCTTGATGATAAGGACCCATTAGCAGACCATCAAGTGGTGACTGTGTCACCAGAAATGGCAGAAGTACTACAAGACAAGGGAGCATTACTTGAAGGTACTTATGGTGGAGATGGTGAGGCGAGTGATGAACTATTATTTGGCGAAGTCGTTGATGATGATGGTGATGATGACGAGGATGATGGGGGTCAGGAGGGACTCGGTGCCAACGATGATGAAGAGGGAGAAGAGGACGATGAAGAAGAGGACGACGATGAAGATGAGGATGACGAAGAGAAGGGGCATGGAAAGGGAAGTTTACTGCACTCAAAATTGTTGGAGGAAGAAATCACAGAATTGGAAAAAGTGGTGGAGAAACACAAGAAGAATCTCAGCTCCACAACCGATACCATGATGAAAATGAAACTCCAGAGTAATATTTCATCTCTTAAAGCATCATTGGAACAAAAAAAGCGGGATTTGCTGAAGTCCATTGTTAATGAAGAGACCCTGGAAAAAAATTCAGTCGAGGATCGGTTTGATGCGGAATCAAGTTCAGACAAGACTCTGGGAAGTCGTCTTAAAGGGGTAGAGGAAGACGCTGGAGATGATGAAGAAGCAGAAGATGTGGACGGTCTGGACAATAACAATGACAGTGCTGACTCTATAGACGATCTCTTTTGATGTATACTGGTAAAAAAGACTTCACAATAGAAAAAGGTCTCTTGTAGTAGCGATTTCAATAAGAAGCCCACCAGTTTACTCCGCGGAAGATGTTCGGCTTTTGTGAATCGCAGAAAATGCACACACACACACACACCCACACCACAAAAGAAAAAAAAAAAATTGAACTCATCGGAAGGACCCGGTTTGCATTTGAGTACTAACTTTGCTGGTGATAGGTCTCACCCCATTTCCATTTCAACTGCAACATTGAAACCGGACGCTAATGTCAACAAATTCTATCAAGCTACTCGCAAGTGACGTTCATCGTGGCCTTGCGGAGTTGGTCTCCAAAAGATTGGGTCTCCAAATCACCCCCAGTGAATTGAAACGAGAATCGACGGGAGAGGTTCAGTTCTCCATTGGAGAGTCTGTGAGAGATGAAGACATATTTATTATTTGCCAGATTGGGTCTGGAGTAGTCAATGATCGTGTCATAGAATTGATGATCATGATCAACGCCTGTAAGACTGCCAGTGCAAGGAGAATCACAGTCATACTTCCCAACTTCCCTTACGCTAGACAGGATAGGAAAGACAAGTCGCGTGCGCCAATCACTGCAAAATTGATGGCAGACATGCTAACCACAGCAGGATGTGACCATGTCATTACGATGGACTTGCACGCGTCGCAAATCCAAGGCTTCTTTGATGTCCCTGTGGATAATTTGTACGCTGAGCCTAGTGTAGTTAGGTATATCAAGGAGACAATTGACTACAAAGACGCCATAATAATCTCCCCAGATGCCGGTGGTGCCAAGAGAGCGGCAGCTTTGGCTGATAGACTTGATTTGAATTTTGCTTTGATTCATAAAGAGAGAGCTAGGGCAAACGAAGTTTCTCGTATGGTTTTGGTGGGGGACGTGACAAACAAAATTTGTGTTATTGTTGATGATATGGCTGATACGTGTGGTACTTTGGCCAAGGCTGCGGAAGTGTTGCTAGATAATAACGCAAAGGAAGTCATAGCCATCGTGACACACGGTATTTTATCAGGTAATGCTATTAAAAACATCAATAACTCCAAGTTGAAAAAAGTTGTTTGTACCAACACAGTTCCATTTGAAGAAAAGTTGAAGTTGTCCAACAAGTTGGACACCATTGATGTTTCTGCCGTTATTGCAGAAGCAATCAGAAGACTACACAATGGTGAGAGCATTTCCTATTTATTCAAGAATGCTCCGTTGTAACCAAGAGTGGAGACAGAGTGAGCCGCTTGGAAATGGGTAAATGGCATTACCGTGCTTACAAGGTTGCTGGTGCCGTCTCGTAAACTTAAAATAAACGTATTGATTATTTAGAGAAAACCCTCGCATAAAATTTTCAATTTTCTCTTCCAAAGTCTCTTCCAAAGGAATATACACACCTCAGATCAAATAAATCTGCATGCAATTATGACAGGGTCCAGACAGTACGTTCAATCTTTTTTACTTGACTAAGTCATCGAAAGGGGGAGGGGGGTTCTAACACATCCAATTTAAGCCACACTAAAATCAGGGCATGTCTCTTTGGTATGTTCATTTTCTGTTTTTTATTTTTTTTTATTTTTGTTTATGCTTTCAGTAGCAAAATTTGACGACTAACTTTGAAAAAGATATGGATGGGACAATCCTCAACACAGAAGATATATACACAGAGGCTGCTTCCGAGCTTCTTGCAAAGTATGGAAAAGGCCCCATGACGTGGGATGTCAAAATCAAACTTCAGGGCCGACCAGGTTTGGAAGCTACCAAGATAATGGTTGAGGAGTATAAATTGCCATTGACGCCTGAACAATTCGCTCAGGAGGCTATTGCGATTCAAGCAAACAAATGGCACAAGGCCAGGTTTCTCCCAGGAGCTTTGGAACTTTTGGAGGATCTTTATAAGAAAAACATTCCGATTGCGTTGGGTACTAGTTCCAATACCATAAACTTTGACCGAAAAACAAAGCATCTTCAGCACGGATTTGATCTTTTTGAGGGCCACATAGTGACTGGTGATGATCCGAGAATACCACCTGGACGGGGTAAACCGCATCCAGATATATGGTTCGCTTGTTTGGCGAGTATCAACAAAGAGAGGGCTCTTCAAAACTTAGAGCCTGTGAGAATTGAAGAATGCCTCATCTTTGAAGACGGAATACCAGGAGTTCACTCTGGTATAGCTGCAAATGCTCATGTTGTATGGATCCCTGATCCAAATGCGTTGGTTGTTCTCGATGGTAAGGAAAAGGATATCATTGGAGAAAACGGCGAGATCCTTTCCAGCTTGGTTGAATTCGATATGGAAAAGTATTATCTTTGAAGCCCACGAGATGGACGAAAGATTACAGGTTAGAATTAAGTTTAGAGAACATTTAAAACTGAGTGTGTATTGTAGTATTTAATGGGCACAGACTTCGTACGTCTCTCCTCACACCCGAAGCTAAAACATGGCAAAGGTGGATTGACCTCCCATTGTTTCTATCTTCACTGAAATACTTTTCCTGCAGGCCCCATTTACAGAAATACGGCTTGAATACTACGAGAGTATAAAGAGGCAATCTCAACAGATCAGAAGCGAGTACGACAGACTGACAATGAGGGAAATAGGGAAGGCGAGAAGCCAACACAAAAAAAAATAAAATAAATATAAAATAAAATAAAATAAAATAGTCAGAGGGGGTCGCTCTAGGTTTCATTACTCAACTTTCGTTCAAGTACCATGAAGATAGATCTTCAATCTCATCAGGAAATAGCATGATCGGTACGGACTCCTATCACCTTATAATCGACTTTCTTCCACCAACAAAAACAACTTCTGATTACAGATTTTCAGAATTGAGTATAACCGAAATTGACATCAAATCACCAACAGATACAAATATGATCCCAGCAGCTATAGAACCAATTAAAGCGAAGCTGATTGGGAAGGGCGTCATCAGACTTTATAGGGAGTTTGAGGAAGACCCTTCGTCAAATGAAGCTCAGAACAAGAAGAAAACCGCGACCAACCCTGGAGACAACACCATGGTGGCTATTTTAGCCATACCTACGTATTTTACCGCAACTGATCTATTGGGTTACATAGGAGAAGTATTTGTCTCTTCCATTTCCCATATAAGGATTTTAAAGAGTGACAAAGCTAATAGGTTTATGGTATTGATAAAGTTTCGCGATATTGTGAGAGCAGCAGAATTCCAGTACCAATTTGATGGGAAAAGTTTCAACTCAATGGAACCAGAAACGTCGCATGTTATATTTGTCAGCTCTGTTCAAATTCAGTATCAGCAGCGGCTTGAGGGCATGCAGTCTCTAATTCCTTTCCTATTGTCAGACCCATTCACGTCAACATCTGATCCCAAGCAGACCAATTCAGGTACTGACGAGATTGCCAATGATGATACACGGATAGAGCTTCCGACATGTCCCGTGTGTCTCGAGAAGATGGATTCTGCAATTACTGGTCTACTCACTATCCCCTGCCAACACACTTTCCATTGCCAATGTCTTTCCAGATGGCGGGATGATTCATGTCCAGTTTGCAGATACTCGCATAATTTGACCAAGTTAGCAAGCTTAAACCAAGACAGGACGTCACAAAATCTAAACAGAAGAGAATCTACCCTGCAGGATAATACACCACTGCAGGCTCCTGCATCCACAAGCGAAGAAAATGATGTTTGCATGGATTGTCAGGTGAGGTCGAATTTATGGATCTGTTTGATATGTGGAAACGTAGGCTGCAGCAGGTATGCACCCGAGCAACACTCACTAAAGCATTTTGTTACCACAGGTCATTGCTTTGCTATGGAAATAAATACAAGTAGGGTGTGGGATTATGCAGGAGACAATTATGTTCATCGATTGGTTACTAATGAATCGGATGGTAAATTAGTGGAACTACCTGATAAGAGTGATACGAAGGAGTCAAAAAGCTTAGGTAATGCGGTAGACAAGATTGATGCAGTTGGTTTTGAGTACTCTCAGCTACTAATCAGCCAGCTCGCAAGTCAACGTGAGTACTATCAAGACCTTCTAGACCAACAAGCAATGCGATTAGCATCAACATCATTATCGAAATCTAGAAAGGGTTCTGTGATCACTTCAAGTCTGTATCTGGATACCGTGAGAGAACTTGAGATGAAAATCGAAGATTTAACCGACAAAGTGGCGGATCTAACGACTTCGGTTGTGCCTTCATTGAAGGAAAAGATACAAAAGAAGGAGGAAAAGATTCATAACTTGAGTAAGCAATTGTGTACAGCAAATGCATTGAATGAGGCATTTTCCAATAAAATTGAGCACGTCACGAAAGCAAACGATGACCTCAAAGTCGCTATTGAAGATATTAAAAGCCAGAACAATGACCTAAATGACCAAGTGAGGGATTTAATGTTCTTTCTCGAAAGTCGAGAGAAGTTCAAAGACGAGTCAGAAGACGTGAAGCAAGGTACTGTCGTTATACCGCAGCAGTCGTCGGCGTCATCATCATCATCAACATCAGCAAAGAAGAAAAAGAAAAAGGCAAAGAAATAGTGATCCCTTTAGTGTGACGAATAGAGCCGAAAAATATGAAAGATATCGATCTAGACCACTTTTCTCTGCTTCATTTGAGGCGGATCATATGCCAGAGCATGCAAAGGAATATTAATTTCCTAAAATCGTGTGCACCTGCATGTATGGCTTTTTTTTTGATTTTTTTTGTTCTTTTCATTTGGTTCCCACAATGTTCCAGTGGTTTTGTGTCGTTTCCATCAAGTATATTTTATTTACCCTTCAAAAAAGTTAAAGTTAAAGTTAAAGCTAACAGCATAACTAAAATCGGAATTGTCATCTCTTGAATTCTGCAAAAAAAAAAAAAAATACACTCCACAGACACAATTGAACCACCGAAAAGAAATTCTATGATATGCTGTCTCTCAGGTTGTGTTGGAGAATTAAAGGAATACAAAATAAAGAAAAAAAAAAAACAAAACACTAATTGAAGGTACATAAACGTGGTGATATGCTGAAATCTTGAATTATTTGCTGGCTCTTTATTCAAAAGAACAAAGTGATCACAGTCCAAAATGAATAGCAGTATCTGTCAGGAACCATCGTCTATGCCTAGGCTTCCATCCTTCCGGCAATTGAATGAAACATTAAAGGAAACAGAGTTTGTTTCACCAGCACAGAGGGTTGTACAATATTCGTCGTCAGCTAGGAACTTGGCAACAAATGATGAGAGTCAGGCAACCCCACAGAATAAATTAACAAACACGCCACCAAGTGGACGTCTGCTCACTAAAGGTCAAGAGTACATGTACGGAGCTCCCTTGTATGGGAGACACGATAGCTATCCTAATCAGTACTATATATCCAAGAATGAGACAAGTTTGCCATCATATTCGACTTCACCATCATCGATCGAGAGCTTGGATATGTCAAAGGTGGACCAAGACCTCTCCAACCAGCATAAAGAAGTCGACTACCAGTTTGTGTCCGAGTTGCTCAAGTTTTTGCTTGATTTTGAACTGAAGTGCAAAGAAATGAGTGTTTTGCTGTACTACACGTATGGGAATACGGATCGCACCTTTGAAAATATCGTGCAACGGATGAAGTATAATGATGTAGATCAAGTGTTGAACAATCTTCGAAAAGTTTCCGACTTATTAGAGAGCATAAAGCGACATAAACATAAGAAGCAGCATTTCATGGGACCGAAAGTTGCAAGAGCTCTGGATGTGGACAGTGGCAATAGTTTGAAAAGACATTTGAGTCAGCACGTGTTGACAAGCATGGAATCCAAAAAAAGTCGAAGAAAGAGCATGAAGTTGGAACACCATTTGACTGGATGTGATTTGTTGCAACATAATGCTGGCGTTGTTCCAAACGATGCATGTTTGTACTTTGAGAGTAAGAACAACCTTAACGCAGCTAGGATTGACTCTGACGCTACTCATAAACCAGAGATCATTTGCCAACATTGTCGGTCAAAGGAAACCCCCGAATGGCGAAGAGGTCCAGAAGGTAGCCGAACGTTGTGTAATGCATGCGGTTTATTCTATTCCAAATTGATCAAAAAGTATGGTTTACATGAAGCAGATAGGATCATGCTTGAGCGGAAACAAACAGGGTCAGTTAATGATAGAAGAATCTTTTAGCTTTATGGGCTATATGAGGGTATATCTAGTCTATGTTTTGAATTCTTTAAACTCTAGCCATGAATGATAAACGACGCTCTATTTGTTAAAGCTTCTCTCTCCCCCCCCATCTTTGTGCTTCGTCTCTCTCATCGTGCCAAATAAGAAAAAAAAAAAAAAAAAGAAAAGCCTCATCTCTGAAAATCTTCTAGCTATCCCTTTTTCAAACCAAAAACTACAACGAGTCAGTCACTTGCGTTTTCACAACATGTCTGATGCTACTGACTCAAAGATAAGTAGCAATGAGTATGCGTTTCCTAGAGGAGGAGCTACCGGTTTGACTCCATTAGAGGTGAAGGAGATTTCCAATGAAGCAACCAAGGATGTGCTATTTGAAGTAGCTAGTGCAAACAAAAGGACCAGTAAAGCAACTGATTCAAACACTCCCAGAAAGAAGCAACGAACCAGTAAAAAGCAAGGACCAAAATCGAAACAATCAAAAGAAGAAGATGAGACTGAGGACGAGAAGAAGGTTCCGATTGAATACTTGTCATTTAAGAATCTTGCACCAGGATCGTTTGCTTTTGGACAAATTCAGGCAATCTACAAGTTGGACATTGTGTTGGCTTTGGAAAACAATTTGGTTGGATATGTACCCATTACTTCCATCAGTTCACACATTACTGAACTTATCAACAAGTACGAGGAGGAAAGCGAAGAGGAGGAGGAGGAGGAGGAAGAAGAAGAACAAGACGAAGATGATGGTGAGGAAGAAGGCGGTGCTTTGATAAGTTCAAAGCCTACAAGAGAATTTCCCGACTTGAAAGCTATCTTCAACATTGGGTCATGGTTGAAGGCAAAAGTCGTGGGGACCGAGATTGGTAATAAAAAGAGAATAGAAATGAGCATTGAACCCGAGTTGGTCAATGCTAACCTCGAGAAGGAGGACTTAGTCCCAGGAAATATCTTGCTGTGCTCGGTGAAGTCCGTTGAAGACCATGGGTTGATATTGGAGTGTGGCATCGACGGCCTCTCAGCTTTTGTTTCAAACAAGGAGTTAAAGAATGCCGGTTTAGATCCGAACGACTTCAATCAAGGGTCAGTTCTTACTACAGTTATCATATCCAAGCCTTCAGGAAGAACTATTACTGTCAAACCAGCTGTTGCGTCTACTTCCAAAAAGCTCACTTCCATAACTACAATTTCGTCTGTTGACGCCATACAAGTTGGTGCTACTGTGGACGCTCTAGTGAGTGAAGTCACAGAATCTGGTATCACTGCAAGGGTATTTGGACTTGTGGATGGTACTATAAATTTATCTGATTTGCAAGTTTTCAGTGTGGAAGAATTGAAGCACAAATTTGCTATTGGAAGCAACGTCAAAGCTAGAATCATGGCGATTTTACAAAAGGGTGGTGTTCGTAAGTTGGTGCTTTCGTTGATTTCACATACATTGAAGATGGAGGGTGGTGATGCCAAAGGCGAAGCTCTCGAGGCTTTCCCCGTGGGACACATTTTTGACATTGCAGAGGTACTTGGCTCCGATCGAGAATATATATACGTCAAGCTCGGACTTTCAATTTTTGGTCAAGTTCACAACTCCAACATAGATGAGACAAAGACATTGATTGATTACAGTGTTTCTAGTAAACACAAAGCCAGAGTCATTGCATACAACATGGTTGACAATTTGTATGTCTTAACCTTTAAGCCTTCCACAATTGAAGCACCATATTTGAGTGTCAGAGACATACCAATCGGAACTATTTTACCCGGTTGTGTCATTACTGAGGTTTTACCCGGCTCGGGTGGAATTCAAGTCAAGTTTCTTGATGATTTTCAAGGATTCATTCCACCGAACCATATGTCAGATATTAAATTAGTGTATCCAGAGAGAAAATTCAGAGTTGGCTCCAAAGTTAAAGGTAGACTTTTAGCACAAAAGGGAAAGACGCCATTGATAACAGTGAGAAAATCCTTAGTGAATTTAGACGGCGAGGATATTCTTTCCAATTTCGATAACGCAAAAATTGGCTTGAGAACGAATGCCACAGTGGAAAAGTTTGTTCACGGAGGTGTTATAGTTTCATTTTTTGGAACACTTCGGGCTTTTTTACCCAAAAATGAGATTTCAGAGACTTTTGTCGATGATGCTTCCAAGTACTTGAAGCTTGGACAAGTGGTAAATGTCAAGATATTAGACATTAACAATGACGAGCGACGTTTGGTGGTGACATTGAAGCAATCGAGCCAGTTGTCCACGTCACAAAAGTCTGAGATTTCTAGTTTGATACCTGGTATTTCCATTGTTGAAGCTGTTGTTGTTGAAAAGAAGAATGACTCGGTATTGATTGAGTTAGTGGGCTCAAATCTTAGAGGAGTGGTTCATGATGGCCAGCTTAGTGATGGAAACTATGAACAAAATAGGGCCCTTTTCAAGAAACTTGAAGTAAGTTCGCAAGTAGAAGTTTTAATTTTGGAAAAGGATTTGAAAGCCAGAACTGTTATCGCAACCGCTAAAAAGTCGCTTATTGAGGCATCCAAGAAGAAGCAATTGCCCGCCGATTTCGATGATGTTCAAGCCAATAAAATCATCAAGGGTTACGTCAAGTCGGTTACAAATCTAGGGTTGTTTGTAACTTTCACTGGAAGGTTGACAGGGTTGATCTTGGCCAAATATGTTTCCAAGAATGCGCATGAAGATTTGTCAAAAAGGTTTTACAAGTACCAATCTTTGACATGTCGTGTTTTGAGTGTAGATGCCGAGAATAGAAGGTTTTTGCTAACTATTGCTGATACCAAAGACACCATAGGAGACAGCTTGACCAACCCGGTTGATTCGACGAAAAAGACAATCGAGGACTATGCACCGGGCTCTACTACTAGAGCCATTATCAAATCGGTTAAGGGTACCCAGTTGAATGTGAAATTAGCGGATAACTTGAATGGGCGTGTTGATGTGACTCAATGTTTCAAGTCGATAAAGGACATCAAGAATTCATCACAGCCATTATCGTCCGGATTCAACAAGGGCGATGTGCTTGACGTCAAGGTCATCGGTGTTCATGATGCCAAAAACCATACCTTTTTACCAATCACCCACAATAAAGTCAACAAGCAAACCGTTATAGAATTGTCTTTGCAAGATGCGCAAGTTCACAAAAAGCATTTGAGTGAATTGAAGCTTGCTGATGTGAAAAAGGGAGATGAATTGGTTGCATTTGTCAACAATATTGATCGTGGGTTTGTTTGGGTTTCTATAACTCCATCCATCAAGGGTCGTGTATCATTTATGGACTTGTCTGATGATGGTTCTATTTTCCACAATTTTGAAAACAGATACCCAATTGGTGCAGCAATTCAAGTAAAAGTGAAAGAAGTTGATAATGAGCATCACACATTGGCTTTGGTATCGAGGAAGAGATTCATTCATAAATTTGATGACGTTGAAAAGGGCAAGACGTATCCTGCACGTGTCATCAAAGTCAAGGATCTGTACGTGTTGGTAGATCTTGGTGACAAGGTGATTGCTTCATCCTTTATCACCGATGCTTTAAATGACTACTCGGACAAGTTAGAACATGCTTTCCATGTCAATGAGTACGTGGGGGCCAAAGTGTTGGATATCGATCAAGATGAACAAAAGATTTCTGTAAGTTTGAGGGATGAAGCACACACGACTGATAGAACAATCAACTCATTTGAGGATTTGTCTAGAGGTAATATTGTTAAGGGCTTTGTCAAGAATGTCAACACCAATGGTGTTTATGTCTCCTTGGGAAGGTCGGTTTTTGCATTAGTGAGAGTATCTGATTTGAGCGATTCGTATTTGAAGGATTGGAAGAAATTCTTCAAGCCAAATCAACCAGTTACTGGTAAAATTGTCAGTTGTAAAGAAGAAGGACGGATTTTAATGACTTTGAAAGAAAGCGAGGTTAATGGAGAATTGAAAACGATGAAGAGATTTGAGGATTTGTCAGTGGGTGATATTTTCGAAGGTCATGTCACAAAGACGACGGACTTTGGTGTGTTTGTGAAGTTGGATGGAACTGTCAATGTTAGTGGATTGTGTCACCACTCGGAAATATCAGAGAATGACGTCAAGAATGTGATGGCGTTATTTGGAGAGGGAGATCGTGTTAAAGTGAAGATTTTGAAGATTGATCCAGCAAAGAAGCAATTATCTTTGGGAATGAAGGCTTCTTATTTCGATGATAAACTTGAAAAAGGGGATGTTGAAATGGAGAATGCAGAGGAAATTGACGACGATGAGGATGATGATGAACAAGAAGAAGAAGAAGATAGTGGAGAGAGTGAAAATGACGATGTAATTGTCGATGCTGAGGATGATAACGATGATGACGATGATGAGAACGACGAGGAAGAGGACGAAGAGGACGAAGAAGACGAGTCTACAAACTCCCAAACTAATGCATTATCCACCAATGGTTTCGATTGGACAGCATCCATTCTCGATCAAACCGAAGATCAAGACTCTTCATCGGAAGACGAAGACTTCATGAGTAGTAGTGGAAAGAAGAAAGCACGCAAGCAGCAGCAAAAGCAAAAGAAAGTGGAGGATAAAACCATTGATTTAAACACTCGTGCGCCACAGTCAGTTTCTGATTTTGAAAGATTGTTGATTGGTAATCCCAACAGTTCTATCTTGTGGATGAATTATATGTCATTTAATTTGCAATTGAGTGAGGTTGACAAGGCAAGACAAATTGGTGAGCGTGCTTTGGAAACCATCAATTATCGTGAAGAACAAGAGAAGTTGAATATTTGGATTGCTTTATTGAACTTGGAAAATACATTTGGTAGTGATGAGAGTTTGAATGCTGTTTTCAAGAAAGCGTGTCAGTACATGGATTCATTTACAATTCATCAGAAATTGGCAAGTATATTGATTATGAGTGAAAAGTATGATGAAGCACGTGAGTTGTTCAAATCTATGGGCAAGAAATTTGGTCAAAATGTTACAACGTGGATCCTGTACGGATCATTTTTATTGGACCATCAAGGTTCGAGTACTGAGGCTCGTCAGGTGTTGGCGAAAGCTTTACAAGTGTTGCCTAAACGAGACCATATTGAAGTTGTACGAAAGTTTGCTCAATTGGAATATGCCAAGGGAGATGTGGAGCAAGCAAGGTCGTTATTTGAAGGGTTGATTGCTGACGCACCGAAGCGAATTGATTTGTGGAATGTGTACATTGATCAGGAAATTAAGCATGGTAACCACGACGGTGAGAGAGAAGAAGGTGTTGATGATAATCAGCAACATATTGAGAGTTTGTTTGAGAGAGTGATTGAGAATAAAAAAGTGTCACGCAAGCAAGCCAAATTCTTTTTCAACAAGTGGTTGCAATACGAAGAAGGGAAAGGTGATGAAAAGATGGTTGGCAAAGTCAAGGCTAAAGCAATTGAGTATGTGCGTGAAAACGAGCAGTGAATGTAAGCGTAAAGCAGGATGCTTCAAACAAAGAGAAGAGAACAGCTGTACTGGGATTGGGGAAGAGTGTGTTAGGTTGACTATATTGGTATACACATATATATATATATGGACAGAAATACCTTAAAAAGAGATATAGACTTTTAGTACTGAATGGTTTGTAGTAATTGTTGTGAAGTGGTAATTCAAGCTTTCTACAAAGAAATACTTCATTACATGAAGGTTTACCTAAGTGGATTTTATTACCCATGTTTGTTTCACATTCAATTTTATTCTTCTTACTATTATTATTATTATTGACCCTAGCATTGGTGAACTTCGAAGGGAGTTCTGTTGCCAACAATGCCATGATTGTATTTCATCTGATGTATAAAGAGAGGGGGGGGGAAACAAGCTTCTCACTTTCAGACTCTTGGTTTGCAAAGGTTAATATCGTTGACTACTCATCTAGTCTCTTTTAATGCATACACAACACAGTGTGTTTATGACCTTTTGACAATATTTGTATATCCAATCTACTATGTACTTAGCGTGTCTGTCTACATTATGGAGACCAAGCTTCAACACAGGAGTTGTTGTTACATTGTGTGTGTGTGTGTGTATGTAGATTTAGGATTAGTACTAATTGGTAGGCAAATCACATGCATGATTGATTCTTTTCTTAGTGAGACACAGCTAAACTTCACAAGATCAAAACCAATAACATCAACAACAACAACCACAAGAGACAAGCTTTTCTATGTAGCACTTTTACATATACAGACATACGCATTATATAGTTGGCTTTGATAAAGTTTTACGATCCAATGTTATACACTAAGTGGTAGTAGAATCAACAAAAACTGGCTGGGGGTGGGTTTACAAACATCAAAGATTATACACACTTTCCAACTGCTCAACGAAAAAAGGTTTATCAAATTGCTATAGAAGCATGAGTAGGTGAGTTGTTGATCTTCAAACAACAAAGACAACAAACTCATTCGTTTTTATCCGTTGCAGTTGTGTACATACTGTATATCTCGCGTAGTTTCTTTCTATTGAGTTAAAGTCAGACAAGGGGTGGCGGGAAGGGAGGGGGTGTCGAAATTCAATGAGGAAATGAGGAGAAGAAATTGGGGGTGGGAAAAGAGTTTGAGGACTGAGAGAGAGAGAGAGAGAGAGGGGCAATCAGAAGTTGATAGATTAATGAATGAAATGGTATATATGTACACTTGTAAATGTTGCGGGTGTTGTTGAGGACAAACACACCTTCACTCGGCCGAGAAGATTTGTAATTTTGTGTAGAATAATATAGTCACGTGCACTCGGAGTTTTTTCTCCTTTTTTTGTTTTCTTTTTTTTTTTTTCATGTGCTACAATACAGTTTGTCTTGTTTTTGTCCGCTGAAAAAAAAAGAAAAAAAACAAAAAAAAGAGAAAACGACAATGGTATCCGAGCTCAAATAGATTGTAACTAAACTAACCTGAAGTATTGAGTGAGGAAGTGGTTGGATGATAGTGAATGTAGTAGGGTAAAGCATATGGTCTATGTTTTTCTCTTCTTTCAAACTGCTATGGGTGACAATGTTTCACACGTGATAAAATTTTACAACGTTTTTGTACTCGCATAACATAAAGACATGGAGATGGAGATGGAGATGGAGATGAAGAAGACAAGAAATATGTATGTACAGAGTGTGAATGTGTATTGTTGTGTGTATTGGAGACACCAGATAAGAGAGAGCAAGTCCAGTGATAGTGTGTTTTACTGTTGGGGATGGTGGCATCTTTAATGTTAAGGCTGCTTGAATACAGCGCCATCTTGTCTCTATCATGTGTTAAGCAAATATATGGTGTGTTGAGAGTAACAAGTAAATATCACACGCACATTTTCTTTAGTGTTTATTACGTAATCAACTTAAACTCAACAGAGAGAGAGAGAGAGAGAGAGCATCAAACGTTTTTTTTTAGTTCTTTTTTCTTTTTTTTTCCTTCTCTCACAGTACACTACTAATCTCAACTATAATTAGCGCTTGCACTATCAACAAACATCTTTATATACATATATATATATATATATGTCTAGAGATCCTTATGCTTCTATATATATACTGGGTCATTTGTACAACATCTGTCTACTACATAGTACCAAACACATAGCATACTTTATTGCCTGTCAATAGTTCTTATTTTTAAAGTTGAGCAAAAACTGTTTACTGGCCACCCCTCACCCCAGTTTTAAACACCTAAGTTCCTGTGCTATTTTTTTTTTTTTTTTTTTTTTTTTTTTTTTTTTTTTTTTTTTTTTTTTTTT